AACGGGGAAAAGTCAGTCAGCAACTAAAATGGCAAAGAGTTAAGGACATTACTGTATAAACAGTACATATCAACACATAAAAAAGGAAAGAGTGATTAGTTTACAAATAAAGGTTTGGGTGCACTAGCAATAAAAAAGAAAATTTACCTTATCAATTTATAAAAATAAAACAATGTGTTAGTCTGGGTGGCTTAAATAGCAAACATTTATTTCACACAGTTCTGGAGGCTGAGAAATAGAATTGCTGCCAGATTCTATTCCTTTCGAGGGCCATCTTCCTGGTTTGCAGATGGTCACATGGCAGGGACAGGCAACATCTCTCTCCTGTCTCCTCTTATAAAGGCATGAATCCCATTCATGAAGGCTTCACCCTCATGACCTAATCACCTCCCAAAGGCTCACCTCCAAAGACCATCATCTTAGGGGTTAGGCTTAAACACAGGAACAATGCAGGGGACACAAACTTTCAGTCTATATTCCTCAAAAATGACAAAAATGTAGGCTGAGCACTTGGACCTACTGGGCGAAGTGTTAACAGACAGATTTTTGCAAAGCAATTTAATAATACGCATGCACAACTTTCCATTTCAAAGTCTTTGACTCACTGGTTCCCTTTTGAAAATCTAAGAATATTCATATATGTCAATGAAGACTTCCGCCTAATTTTGTTCAAAAATAGTTTATAATATCCCAATACTGGAAACAATATTATGAAAATGGTCATGAAAGTATCAGAAATCCATTTAAAAAAGCTGAGAAAACACAGAAGTTATATTCATGAAGTATAATATAAAAAGTATTTAATGTTAACTTTCAAAAGCAGAATATAAAGTTATATATGAAGTGTAACTATTTAAAGATAAAAATACATGGAAATGACCCGAAGAAAATGTGTCAAAACATTAATAGTGGTTGCCTGTGGGTGGCAGGATTATTGCTGGTTTGTCTATTGGTACTTTTCTGTATATTCTAAACTATTTTAGATGGCCATGTATTATTAATACACCCTTATAATCCAAAAATATAGAGCATTAAAATAAAATTTTAAAGAATAAACAAGCATATAATGTTCAACTGTGGACATACATATCGCCCTACACAAATACAAATCAATTATTTATATTTCCACCACTTTATTGCTATGCAACTTGGGTCTTTATATGCACATGTAATTTAGTAATTCAAAGAGATAATCAGGGTTTTATAACTGGCTTACTGGTGTTTGATTTGTCTTAGATCAACACCTAGAAGCTACTACACTTCAGGGCTTAGTCAATTACCAAAGACTTATCAGTTGCTTTCTAGAAAATGTAGAGCACATATACATCTTATTGTGTGAAGGACAAGAGCCTGGCAGTGGTGCTGATCCTCAACAGACTAAAAAACCTCAGCTCAGTAAGGACCTAAGGACAATGGCAGACAAGGCAGAAGAAAATGAAACTAACATGTTAGCATATGCAAGTTGGATTGTGAAAGGAGAACAAAGAATGGCAAATCCACTCCAATCAGGGATTAGAAAGAAAATAAAAGCAATGCAAAATAAAAATACTAAACATAGAACTGAAAAGGACAAGAACAAAAATAACTCTGAATGACGAGGTTGCTTAACCATTTCTTAAATAGGGAACAGAAAAAAACAGTACAAGGTAGGAAATAAAATAGCAGAACGAGGGATGTGGCTAACGAATCAAACTGGTTACTATGGCTAGTAGTTTTTTAGTAATTTCTGTAGCCCTGCCAATATGGTAACATTAAAAAAAAATGCCACCACTTGTTTAAAACAATATGTGAGGAAATATTTGTTTTCTTAATATTTAACCAACAAGTTTTGCTATGTTTTTGGGTTCTGAAAAATACGGCGGTTATGGTATACACAGAAAAACACACCACACACATTTTATTCTATTTTAAGCATTCATGTGTTTAAAACAGAATTTGAAAGTTGATTTAGGTGTTACAAATAAACTTGAGGACATTAACGCTGATAAGTACTAAAAGTTAACATTCTACAGAAAGCAGGAGAAGCCTCTGCCCAAAATCAAATTTTCTAATCTGTAAAGATATGTGGCTCTAGAACTTTAGGAGGCATTAAAATGTTAATCTTCAAAGGGAAGTCTGCAGAGGTTTTGCGTTTTTCAGTATCTAACCATTTTGGTGATAAATGCTTCACATGACAACTGAATAGCCACATAAGAGGGCCAGAAGTTAAAAAGAGTCTTTATACTGGTTCATAGTTTCTCAAACTTAGTACCATCCTGGTATGGTATTTCTGGTATGTCCATATCCCACCTGTACATTTATTTATTTATTTTCCCTCAAATCAACCTGCCTTTAAAAATTGAAATACCTACTTTAGGCTTGTCCTAAGTAGCAGAGAAATCACCAGTTTAATGTGCTAGCTATATATTGAATACATATTAAAATACTTAAATATTTAAACGAAACTATGTCCATATACATTCTAAACACACTGTGCACGTTATAAGTGGTAAGGTATAGCACCCATCAGAAAATATAGTCCGATCCCAATTTCTCTAAGCAAGTAAAATTTGAGGAATGAATCCTGAAATTGCTCATAAATATGTTAAAATTCCAAGCTTTTGTTCCCAAGGAAACTTAAAAAATTCCAGATCTTAAAATTTCTGATCACTGAAACTCTGAAGCGCTTCGTTTACTGTACAAATATTACATGCTATGAAAGAGAAACCTTAAGAAAAATAAACTCCTGTGAATGAACAATAGACTAGATATATTAATTTATAGCCAGAGAACTTCCTTGGATGAAGCCAGTCTTTACACAATGTTTAACCACACACCACTTGATCATTTATCGCCGGTTTTCTTGTCATACAGCTCGCATACTGACATAATTCTTACGTAATCTAACTTTCACCTTTGTAGATTTTCTCCCTTGTGGATATGCTTACTCCACTTTTTATTTCATATTCCTTTCTCATCTTTGTACCTCCTGTCTCATACAGCAGGTGCTTAATAAAAGATTCTGGAACAGAACAAAATCAATACAAACCAAACCTTATGGCCACAACATATTGTGCATTTGTATCAAACAAAAAAGATTTTCATTTTAAGCTTTGCATTTCCTTAAAAGTGAGGACTTTGTCAAACATTTTTATCCACTCTGAGAAATGTACAATGATTAGAAAAGTGCATGTCATAGTAATTTTCTTATATATGTACTCCAAAACATCAAAAACATATGGCTATGGAATAACTTAAAGGAGTACAACCTGAAGATTTTGAAATGTCATAAATTAGTCTTTAATAAATTGTACAAAATATTTATTTTTATTAAAAAGTTTATGTTTTCCAGACACACCGGTATTTAATTATTACGTCCACTTCACAAGACTCACATGAAAATAAAACACTTCAAATAGAAAAGGGGAAAAAAGTCAAAAGAAAGCAAAGAAAAGAGAAGCTGGTTCGCAGCATCTGAATTACTTCTGGACTCTCTTTCTGGTTCTTGAACCTTGAAGACAAATCAAAGAAACTTAAATCATTAATCAGTAATTTACGAAAGCAAAAGAACAGAAATATAAATATCCCTAAATACAGTTATTAACATTTTAAAATCGAATTGAGTCTGGTGATTTGCAAAGATAAAAGTGACACACAAAGGTATAAATGCTAACACCCTGAAAATCTTAGAAAATTGGGTCAATTTTTTAGTATGTCAAAAAATATGCTGACGAAACCTACCTTCTAGTCTTAAACCGTGTAAAAATCCTTTGACTTATAAAATGTATCCAATTTTTACTAACACTGAAATCGTTTTCTCCAAAATTTATATTTATTGTAAAATTTAAAATATTATCTCCACAGATATACACTTTAGCAATATAGATAAGCATTCATTCCTTAGGGGGAAGAGATGAGGTCATGCATGTTATGAAAAGCAAGGGAATGAGTTGCTTTTTAAAGCCTATTACCTACAGCCTTTAGGCAGGAGAGTACTGGGATATTCGGAAATGGAATGTCTTTTCCACTAGGAATTATATGGATCCCAAATGAGTAGCCTCCTAGAAAAGGATCATATGTGATACTGGTCTAAGTCCCTTATGACAGCTTCCATCTAACTATTCTTGGTTTGGAATAAATCAGTGACTCTCTGTTAGGAGCATGGGAATTCTGCCTCACCAAGGAGACATTTCATCCCACCTACTACTCCTACTCCACCTCTGGGCGCAGCAGTCAGCCTAATCATGGCCCCCTAGTGCTGCCAAAGGATGTGCAGGGCCATTTCCTTCCCACTGTTGCATGTTACGCTCTGCCAGGAAAGAGCAGAGCCACCAGAGTGAGGGAAAGCATGGTGCTCACAATTAATCAATGACTGCACAAAAAAACAAAATGATGAATAATTCTTTTCTCAAAAGTACAAAACATTCTTTGAATGTGGAACAAAATTCTACCACATATATCTAAAGGTTTTCTGATTATGGGTTTACTTACTTAACATAGAGGTCAGTTTCAAAACTAGCATTTTTAATTTTTCCAAATTATATACCATTTCTATATAATTGCCACACAGTTCAATGACAGCAAACTATATGAATATCATTTTTTCTGCCACTCATAATACATACCCTATATATTGTACTATGATTGATTTTAAAATTTAAGTTTTTCCTTCAATTTCTGTAACATAGCCTTCTATTAAAAATATCCCACCATAGACTTTTAGGTTTTTATTTCAAGAAACCAGTTAGTTAGTTACCTAGTTAGTTAGTTAGTTAGTTAGAGAGGTAGTTTCGCTCTGTCGCCAGGCTAGAGTGTAGTGCCGTGATATTGGCTCACTGCAACCTCCGCCTTCTGGGTTCAAGTGATTGTGCTGCCTCAGCTTCCAGAGTAGCTGAGAATACAGGCGCCTGTCACTGCGCCTGGCTAATTTTTGTATTTTAGTAGAGTCAGGGGTTTCACCATGTTGTTCAGTCTGGTCTCGAACCCCTGACCTTAAATGATCTGCCCGTCTTGGCCTCCCAAATGCTGGGATTACAGGCATGAGCCACCACGCCTGGCCTGTTTCAAGAAATTTGAAATTAATTCTGCACAGAAAACTGAAAATGTTGTGATAGCGAGATAGGCATAAGGGGTATTACAAAATCAAGGTCAATCATCAATACTTATATCTCCTTTCAATATATTTTCAATCTTTAACTACACTACAAAGAACACTGAAGTAACAACTATAGAGCTGTATTTAAACAGCATTATTCTCATTCATGTCTTAATTTGCCATTTTACTCTGAAATTAAATATCATTGCTGCTTATCTTCATCAATCTAAAGTTTCTCACTGCAACTGAAAGTGGTATTATTGCCTGGGTTTATATAATCAGTCCTATGCACCTTGTTGCATATATCAATTCAATATTTTCCCTAATAATCAATTCTGATTGTTACAGAAAAAAATCTTCTTATCTCTTTAATTTAAAATATAACCATTTCCTAATATACACTACTGGCAAAGGGTCCAATAATAAGACTAATGTAATAATTTGATATGTGGAGAATAACATACAAGTTTGGGATACTCTTCTATGGTTCTATAATGCAGTAGGGAAAAAAAGGTGGAAAATTTCTTTGTAGGGTTCCCTTAAAAATATCTACTTTTTGGCTAGTCAAAAATCCTTTCTCCAAAGATTCCTCTGGAATGGTCCAACATCAATACCAACAAAAGTAGTCTCCATTTTATGAACAGGTGGGGGAAAGTACACCAGCCATAAATATCATGGCTGTATTAGCTAATTTTTAGCACAATTCTGAAATATTGGCATGATTTTGAAATGCCAGAATATGTATGATTTTTAAAGGCTATCAGTTTGTGAGGGGAAAAATTACTTGCAGCAAATAACCAAATTTTCTCAACTGGTAAAAATTATGCCTTGCATAAAAATAAAAGGATTAGAGGCTCCTGTTCTTCTTGAAAACCATCCCATCACCTCCTCTCTTTGACAAAACCTACACAATACACATTTTGAAAGCTTTCAGAATGTGTTCTTACACAATAGGCCCCCAACTATTCAAAATGAGTTCAGGTGTATCAAGAAAATTATACACGTTTTTAAAATGGTCTAAATAGATATTAAAGGAAAGTTGCTCCCATTTTGCTAGGCACAGTATTATGAAAGATCACAGTGAGAAAAATCTCTTACCATATTGTAAATCATAAATTGTGTTTGAAAATAAAATTGTTAATGAAGAAACTGACATTTCTAAGGCTGCTGTTAGAGGTAACCATTCTTGAAACATGTTTATGACAGAAAATCTTAAAGCTCTAAAACACAGAATTCACTGAATTGTATTACATATCCTGAAAATTTTTTAAAAATCAAATGTAATAATTTTTCTTCTCCTTCAAGTTACTTTAAATGGATAAATTTAAAAGTACACATTTACATCAACTCTTGGCTTTTTTTGCTGGAAGCAATAACATTTTACCATCAGATAATATTTCTCTCACTATTATTTTGATAGTAAAATACCTTAACTTGCCTTGTACTTTAGGGGGGAAAAAAGTGAACTGTAATGGGGGAAATAAACAGCATTTTAAGAAAAGCAATTCTGCGTTTATATAAATAAGGGTGAATCTGATTCTTCTTTATCTTCTTAAAAACTTCTGTCAAACAAACTGAATTGTTCTTCTTAAATTATTTATGACTTTACTCTTTTCTCAATAAGATAACAAAAATACTGATATATTTGACTAGTCATGCTTTCTCCAAAGATTCCTCAGGAATGGTCCAAAATCAATACCAACAAAAGTAGTCTCCATTTTATGAACAGGAGAGGGAAAGTAAATTTTTCATGGGAAAAACCATCAGTAGAAGGCCTTACACTAAAAATTTAGGTTAAAAAAATTTCATAATTAAACTAGAATTTAAAAGCATTTATCTATCAGAGTAAAACCCTTCACGTTCAATAAGCAAAGTTCAGGTAACAAATAACGTCCAGGCAGTCAAGAGGAATGAGTCTTCCTCATGTGCAGCTGAGACTGTCTTAGACTTAATGAATGCCAATCTCACTAAAACAATTCAGGATCTACCAAAACTAAACTTGCCAGTTTTAAAATTTAAGGGATTTTTTTTTTTTAAATATTACTGTATCTTTATAAATGCTCCTTAATTTTGTTCCCACTCACTGTCATAGCTGCTGCAGCTAGCCTCTGGCTGAGACATGCTTCGATGTATTGCTCCTTGGGACTCCTCACTTCCTAATAACAAAATGAACAAGACAGGGGAAGAGGGAAAAAAAGACAGTAGCGAATGGAAAATGGCAGCAGAAAAAAGAGAGGGACTACTTCAAAACCTTTTGCCTTCAGTGTGAAGTTATATATTCCCTCTTCAAATACCTCAAGTTTTATTTGGTTAAAGCAGATTAAACCAAAGGACATTCTAATCATATGTAATGAAGAATGCATTAATAAAATCTGGCCAAAAATAATTCTCTTTGAAAGTTGAACACTTTGCTTTCCACAAACATGCACTGATGCCACTAGCAAAAGGAAGGGAAAATAAATTGGTGGTCTTACTCAATATGGTACCTATGCTTTAAAAAAAAAAAGGGTTTTTTAAAAATCAAAAATAAGTCTTTTCTGTTAGAAACCAAGAAATATTTCAGGATGAACAAAATAATAATTCAAAAAAAGGCAGACAGGAGAAATCTTAAAAAAAAAAAAAAAAAAAAAAAAAAAAAAGGAAAGAAAGCAAAAAGCATTCATAATGGAAAGGAAGAAGTATATCTGTCTTTATTTCCAACTGCTTGAACTCTGGAGGCAGAGGTTGCAGTGAGCCAAGATCGTGTCACTGCACTCTAGCCTAGGCGACAGAGCAAGACTCCACAAAAAAAAAAAAAAAAAAAATGCACTGTGGGCCACACTGAATAACTCTCCTTATTGAGTCAAGTACATCATTGTATCATGTGAATCCTGGAACACATTGGCTGGCAGTTTATTAAACATATCAGACCAAAGTTCAACTTAGTTCTGTTCTTTGCAGATGTTGCCTTTACTAATGTCATTTCTGGAACTACTCCATTACTGAAGTACCTTCAGTGCCAGTTTATAAGCCATCTCAGAAATGACTTCATACCTTGTTTTTTTGCTTTAAGAACTTTGAAAAGTGATCATCCACAAAGCTATAATTCCTTTCCTCTTAACTTGCTCAGAAAAAAAGAAGTTGACAAACTTTATAAGGAACAATCAGGCAGCTCAGCTGCAAATAAGCCCATTGTCTGACCCCTGACACTCACTATCATAACCAGAGTGGGATCAATTTGAGGAAGTGGAAAGATATTAGCCTGAGAGTTAAGAGTTCTGGTCTCTAACACTAACCCTTTCACAACAGCTCAGTCATTTATCTATTTATATTTTAGAGATGGGGTTTCTGTGTTGCCCAGACTGGACTCAAACTCCTGGCTCAAGTGATCCTCCTGCCTCAGCCTCCTGAGTAGCTGAGACTACAGGCACATGTCACCATGCTTGGCAGCTCTGCCATCCAAATCTGCAAAATGAAGGAAACTTCCCGGTCTCAACTTTATAATTATTGTGGAGAGTAAATAATCTAATGTGTGTACAAAAGACACCACGATACATACCACTTAAAGATCTTATGGTATTTTATTATAAAATCAAAAGGTCATGACCCAAATAGTTGACACCTCATCTAGTGAGAGGAAATGAAATGTATGTTTACATATGGAAGCAGCTAGGCAAACTTGTTCAACTTACGGGTCTGTATGGTCTCCTCTGTCTGTGTATTTGAGCATTCCATATCTTCAACACCAGATTCCTTGCTTTCTTCAATTTCTTTCTTTCGCTTCTTACATATAAAAATTTGAGAGAGAGAGAGAGAGAGAGAGAGAGAGAAAGAGATATGGTCTGACAGTCAAGTAAATGACAAACTTGTCACATATTGGTGTGTGTGTGTGGGTACGTGGGTGGGTGGGTAGGTGTGTGGGTGTGTCAAAACACACAGGAAGAATATTCTTAGCTTCAAGATAGTGGTTACCTAAAGGAATGGATGAGGGACAAAAGAAAAGGGGAGTTAGAGAACTTTCAGCTAGACAGTTAACCCAGATGGTAGGTATATTTGTTATATCCACCTCCAACTTTTCATGCTTTATATACTTCATTATTGAAAGCTACGTTTTAAAGATCAGGACTGTCATACAGAAACTCTTCTAAAACAAAATTTTTTACAAACTCACTATCACCACTCAGGCCAATGATACTCTTCACATTGTACAAAGTGGGTGAGGTGGAGAAAGGACAATCTATTTAATAAATGGAAAAAATATATGTCTTGCTCCATACATTGCATCAATGTTTGTACCACATAACATTGGTGGTAAAATTCTATTTATGAATCAATAATGGAAAACTTGTAATAAATGTTTCTCTTTTAGCATACTTTTTATTAAATGTTTAAGAGGGCCATCAACATTACAGTAAATGAATAGTCCTAAAAGTACAAAGCTCTCCTAAAATCTCAAAAACCATCTGCATTTCCCATATTCTATTGGGCCTGTCCTATTTTTCTAGTGAAGTGTTATTTAGGAGTCAGTGCTTATATATTCTGTCACCATCCATTCTTCCCAAATGGTCCTCCAAGTTCATTTTATTACTTTCTACCAGTATACAACATTTTTTAACATACCGAGTCCTGTGTGAAGTTTCTAAATTCTCCAGCATCTCTATACATAGGTAAAATTATAGAGGGACATTAGTAACAAATGCAAAACTTTGAATTTTTTATGTAACTTTATCTTGTGTAGTTTCAAATTTAAACAGATTAAAATCCAAATTTTAATCCAAAGCTTCTCTTGGTTGCCTAAAATAAGTCTGTATCATTTAGAAAACCATCTGATATGCCCCAAATTTCGCAGGTTCACAATGAAACAGAATGTCCTCATTTATATTTTCTAACAATTAACAATAAGTTAAACTTCAACTGAGAAGGTTCCTTGCGGCAGGCCATTTTGTGTACAGCTAGAAAAGAGGATAACACCTGCTGACAGCACATTGTTCCTTTTCCTAATGGCAACCATGGGTTCTGTTCCAAAGAGAATTACATGGGAAAGCTGAACTCTATTCAAGCCACATTATCTTAAAACCTCCAAATGGTCAGAACTGTTATTATCTATGTTTTACAATTAATCCCACTGTTTCAAAACATTCTCAAGGTGGCTGTGGAAAATTGGAACTCAGAGATACCCACCACGTTCCTAAAGAAATTGCTTCACATATACAAAAATAACAACTTGACTAAACCTTGAAAAACTTTAAAAGGCATTCACTTGGCAGATTTGTATATGGAGGTATTGTCTCTCAAAAATAACTGTGAGAGTGGCTATAACTTCACATAACTGATGAGAAAAGGGGAGAATGCCTTACATCTTTCTTTTCCGAAGTGTTGCTTCATGATTACCATCTAAACCCTGCTGGGCTGAACAGATTGGTTCGATAATTACATACAATAACTGCAGTGGGCAGGTAACCCTCAGCTGGCACAGGGCAGCTCCCCTGTGAGAACTTCCATATGCAAACTGCACTGATGGAGTGCATTAGGTACATCTTTCCTGCCAGTGCACAGGCCTGATTAACGCCAGCCAAGACTCCAAGGTTAGCATGTCAGCAGATTTGTGATGCATTAGGCAGGAATAAACACAGACACTTTTGTTCGTTCAGACCAAAATTAAGGAGGAATATTTCAGTGCTATATTGCTTTCCATACAGCAGAGAATGCATTTTCCAGTTTTTGGAGGGCAGATTTTTAAATGCTCATTATAAAGGGAGCTAGCTATCCAATACATTCTACCCAAGAGCCTAAGTGTATTCATCTAGTTTTTAAGCTTATTTAATAAAAGGGGGCTTTCTTAGTCTTCATGCAGGTAAATTACATAGGAAGGAAAATCAGACAGTATTCAACGAACAAAAGAAACACCTGTGCTTTAGGCAATATGCATTAGGTAAAGCACTCTACTGCAATAATCCACACTTCAGCCAGGTAACTCCTGCCCAACTTTTCCATCAATGTATGTAGTCTGGATAGGAAGGGACCAGTGGTCTACAGACCAATTAAAAAAACAAAATAAAATGCTTCAAGTTTGGTAGTATCTGTTATTCATTTTAAAAGGCAGTGAGTAAAATTCTAAGCAATCTGCTGTCAGCATCTTCCTTCTAAAAATTTCCAAATGCTTCATTTTATTTGTCAACATCCTTAGGCTTCAGATAGAGCATATTTTGGTTCCTTTTGAACAGAAAAAATGGCTTCACAAAGTGATGATGCTAATCTCTGATTTTGTCACATTCTGCATCAGGTTTCACAGGTGCCTTTATTTGTGTTAATATGAAACCAAAACATTGTATGATATACTAGAGCAACTTATAAAATGAACTTAGAATATTCTTTTAATTCAGCACAGCTAAAATATCTTTAAAAATTAGATTTATTTCAAAGGGCACTAGCATATATATTACACATTATATTTTTGAGTTGTTCAGATATGCTAGCCTAAAGTTTAGTTAATTAGCAGCTTCTCACTTCCAATTTAGAAACAGGAAGACAAACAGGCTAGATGCATTTGAACTGATAATTTACTAATAGTCTAAACACTGATTGGAGACCTGCTATAAGCTTAAAGCTGTTTTAATAGAAAAGAGAAAAAAAACTTCAGAAGCAAAAACCAAAGACCAAGTCTTTGCTTCCCAAGTTAAGCATCAAAAGATCACCTCTAGATGCTTTCAACAGCTTCTAAGAAAAGCCAATCCGGTTCATGGCTATCTCCAAAAGAGATGAGTACTCAGGCAGTGTTACTTGGGTTTTGCCCATCCCTTACAACAAAAGTCTACATGTTTACTTTAAAAATTTAGACTATATGGCCTAAAGTTTTTAAATGCTCCGCATAGCACATATGTCATAGAATAAAGAACTTTAAATACTGCACTAATCAGTCCATGTGACTGTATTAATCAGTTAATCTTATTTTCTTTATTTGATTAAATTATTACATTCCCTAACAGTGGTTGAAAATAGAATATTACTCAGCAGTAAGTAAAAGAAAAAAGATAAGACACATCTTTTATGAAGGTAAAGCAAATATGTTATTATACCACAATATTTATGAAACTGATAGATTTAGTTAAAATCTACTATACAGACAGAAAATAAAATGAAGCTATGGAAAAAAAAAAACCAAAGAGAATGTGCTCAGTATTTCTCAGCTGGTAGTGACAAAAACACTTGAACTCAAAGCTCTTTATTCTTGCTGCAATTTCCTTTCCACATAACTATGCTGTCTCCCTATGTGACCTTACAGCAGGCAACAGCAGTTTCTAGTTGCTGTGTTCTTAATGCATTTTTTCTAGAGTTATATTATAGTATACACACTTGTGTACTTCATGTAAACTAATTCCATAACCTCCTCTATTTCTCTCTTACTATGTATGCTCCCTGAGGGCAAAGACTATGGTTTTCCTCATTTTTCTAAACCTCAACGAGCTTGGCACAGTGTTTTGCACACATACAAATGTGCACCTGTAGAGTATTCAACTATTATTGTAATAAAGAGATTATTTCATATCTTCCTCTAAGTCTCCCAAAAACTGTTAATATTTAAGTGGACATTAATTACAGGTATGTTTTAAGAAAATGCAGAAAAAGGTCAAATGTAATTAAAAGAAGAAATAAAAAGATGGAGAGTTAGGAAATGAATAAATGACTTAAAAAGAGTCAGAGGAATTTGATGAATAATCTAAAAATATCCTCCTAGAGGCCCAGCACAGTAGCTCAGGCCTATAATCCCAGCATTTTGGGAGGCCTATGTGGGCGGATCATTTGAGGTGAGGGGTTCGAGACCAGCTTGGCCAACATAGCAAAACCCCGTCTCTACTAAAAATACAAAAATTAGCCAGGTGTAGTGGCACGCACCTGTCACCCCAGCAGAACTGCTTGAACCCAGGAGGTAGAGGTTGCAGTGAGACAAGATCGTACCAATGCACTCCAGCCTGGGTAACAGAGTGAGACTCCGTCTCAAAACGACAAAAAAATCTGCTAGAATTTACTATTTTCAATGAGTTTCAGTGATGAAGACTATAATAAAAATAATGAATATGCAATTTTCTTCCACAACAGCACTGATCTCCATCTGAACAGAGGTTAGAGGTGAAGATCACCACCATATACTTACTAAGCATCTACTGTGTGCCTGGCACTGTCATGTTCAAGATGAAAAACAGACACTATAAAATAGTTAAAGGAAAAGAGAAATTTTATCTTTTATAAAAACATTAAACATACACGTTTAATTTCTGCCAACTATTTATTTTGATGTAAAAACTGTAAGAAATCCTTTTAGGGTTCCATAAATGAGCATTCTTACATAGGTGTCCAGTGTAATCCCACTACCATGGAAATTCATTCTGTGAAGTATCAATCCATATGTAAATATAACACACACATTACCTCACAGTCTACCCTTGATTTTGTTGTTGTTGTCTACTTGTTTAAATTTAGATCTCTCTCTTGCCAACATTTTTAGTTATCTACTCTGGAGACAGAGGAAGTACAACTCAAGCAATTTTGCTAATTACTAACAGGTCCAAAGGAATGAGTTTAGCAAAAGAAAATGATTAAAAATATATGGCAAACAAAGTTTGGAATATCTGTGTTCTTCACTAGTTCAAGCTATCCCACCCTAGAATACCATGAAAAATTAAGAATTAACTGTAACTATCCCAAAAATTGCGTACCAAAAATTACAGGTAATTTATATAAATGTGCCAAAAAATACCGATACAATGGTAGACTTTTTCAGAATA